TTTTTTTTTTTTTTTTTATCGATCGGCTCGTGAACCGCGCGCGCGCGCAAGAAAGAGGAATAATAATGGGGGTTTCGCGAAAAATTTTGCAAATTTTTTTTTTTTCCATTTTTCTTTCTTAATATCATTTTTTTTTTTCTACCGTGTCACCATTTCCGTTTCGTTATCATACTATTAACGCCATTTGTTGATATATTAAAACCTTTCGTTTCATCGTTCTTTCTATTTCTGTTCCTTATTTTTTTGTTATGTACGTGTTTATACATATTTATATACGTATACGTGTACGCGATAACATGTTCCTGCATGTATATTTTTGTTTGTTTGTTTGTATAATTTTATTTCATCTCATGTCGGTTCTTACCTCCTCTCCCTCTCATGGTAGGACAAAAGTGCACACAATGGGAGGACTAATTAAGTTTGGTGAAGAAGAAGGATATTGATTATTTTTTCTTTTTCTCTCTCTCTCTCTCTCTCTTTCTCTCTCGTTTTTTGTCCTCTGTGTATGCGTGTGTGTGTGTGTATGTCTGTCTGTCTCTGTGTATTACGTGTGTGCGTTGCGTTTTGTGTACTTTCTTTCTTTCTTTTTTCTTTTTTTTTTTTTTTTACTTTTTTTTTTACTTTTTTTTTCTTTCGTTTGGTTTCTTTTGCGCAATTTAAAATCGATTATTTAGTTTGGTCTCGGGATCTTTCCAACGACACGTGAAAAGTTATTGTATGAAATAATCGGGATGGTCCGAGTCCTTTTCAAACCTCTTCGCTTCCTCCTGCATGCTCTCCTTGATCTTCAGGATGGCCGCCGACTCGGTCTGATCCTGCGAACCAACCAACACCAGGCCAGTTACACGTAAAAGGTCAGGCAAGCCCACCATCCGGGGAGGGATACCTTGCCCATTTTGCACAGCGTTTCGTTCTACGAGATTACAAAGAGAATTCTTTCCTACGTCGTCAATGTTATCTTTAATCGACCGAACAATAAAATCATTATTCAATAAATCCAAAATATTATCTTATTTG